GATGGTAGCCCACCTCCGTCGTATCTCGGTGGTCCTGGCGCAGAGAAATGTAGATGGGAGGATGGCTTCATCATGTCAGATCTCAGGCACACCGAGAAAGGGTTCAGATGGTCGCCATGCAGTGTTCAGAGCTTCCATCACTTTTTAAAGTCAGTACCATTTTTATAATTATACGGACCCATTTCTTGTTTGTTTTTTCTGAATTTGAAGAATTTGAAGAATTCTGCAACTACTAAGTCGTCCATTTCAACGTCCACAACAGGTCAGCTCCATACAACTCGCCTAATATTGACGCCCACGGAAGCCAATAAGCCAGTATGATAACTGGGATGTCGTACTTTTCAGACCAATTCGGTCATACCTCCGCAACTGGCATAATGTAAACGGTCTTTATTATTTTAATTCCAGTGGCGATACAGCGACATGTCTGTACAATTCCCCGCACGAGGACGACTCGCTGCCGCGCGTGCTGCCCGGAAGGTTGCTCACACTGGACGCACAGTGCCGCAAGGATAGAGGCACCAGGTTTGAAAGAAAGAAAATATATTTATATATATATACAGGACACAAACTAGATATAAATGTGTGGCAAAAGCTAGCTTAGAGATGCAGTGACAACTTTTTTGGTTAATAAGTCATAGACAAAACTAGTTTAGGAGACATAATTAATCGTTTTATTGGTATTAAGGGTCTATAAAAGGGTGATACCTTCGGTAACTTTTTAGTTTATTGCTTACTAAGGCATTCCTTTCGTAACTATTTGAGTGTAACAGTAAGCCATGTATGATATATATGCCATAAAAGGCTGACGCGCACGACTCCATCGCTCAGAATTAAAAAAAACATAATTAGTAATCTATGTGTTTTTCCAGACTATGTTCTACATGTATGCCAAATTTCATGAAGATCCATTCAACCGTTCTGAAGATACCTTCAAACAAACATCCATTCATCTTAACATTCGCATTTTTATAATTGTTATATAAGTAAGATACGTAAAGCAAATGAACCCTAATCCTACTTCTCATGTGTTACATTAATTGTATCCGGTACTATTCATAATTACTTCTAATATTGTAATCTTCTCTGACACTTTATTACTTTGCCTTTTACTTTTAAAACAAAGGTTTAATTTGTCTGTTTGCGATTCCAGCGCTTGTTTCAAAGATGAGCGCGTGTGCGCACAGCTGTTTTGTTTCGACGCTGCGAGCGGTTACTGCGTGGCGTATAGACCTGCAGCTGAGGGCTCACCCTGTGGTGATGGACAGGTATGCCTTCTTTTATAACCTTAAAACTAAGATAATATACGTCATCATAGAGCATAGATCATAACAATCCAGAAATTACAGCGCCTTTGGAAAAAATATAGCAATAAGTATAAGAAAATAATTGCTCTTAATATCAATAAGGCGCTTCATCCCTTTTTGTTTTCTTCATCTAGCCTATACTGATTGCAAATGTTAATTATTCCAGTACTGTATAAACGGGCGTTGTATAACGGAGCACGAGAACATAATCCCCGACTACTCGCAGCACACGCCGAGCTACGTGCGCTCCGACACCAGCCCGTTCTTCGGAAACATTACGAGGTCTGTGTCAGTAACATTTATTACTTAGATTAAAAATACATTTTAATTAAACTAATTTACATACTTTATAAGGTTCTCAGATGTAAAACATAAGGCCATATTCAGTTATTTAATGTTTACTTAAAGAGATCTAGGGACTTTCTTAGTACTTATTATCCTAATTTGAATTTAAGGAATTTATGCTGAAAGGCTCTTCTAGGTAACTATTAACTGAATATAGGTTTGGCAATAAGACTTCTTGTATGAAATCTCAAATTAAAATATGTCTAGAATACTACGGAATATTGTTTAATCATTACAAATCACAATACTGACGAACAAATGAGAAACCTTATCTCATTTGACAGTCAGTTGGTGTAAGATATTATGGAGACATTCCAATAATTACTAATATAAATTATTTTTTACAAACACATGCACAGTACCGGAGACACAACAAAACCATACGTAGCTAGCACACGAGCGCCACCTGTGTCACACCAACAATACTATTCAAGTTACAAAATGAATACAAACTCAGAAAATGCAACAACTACCACAACAACAACGACAACAACAACAGAGAGATCTTACAAATACAATTATTACAACCCATGGAAGACCACAGAGTATAAAACTGAAAAACCGACAACTGTCAGTGTCAAAACAACTGTCACAAAGAGTACACAAAGTACACAGAGTACATTACCAAGAATATCCACAACAAGAAGTCCATATGACTTTAAAGATTTCACAACATTAAAACCAATAGAAAAAACAGAATCTACTAAACGTGGTTTCTTCATCAAGGATGAATTGGATAGTTACTTTAAACCAACAACTAAGAATCCTTTCCCGGACAAAGGAATCAAATCTCTCTTCAAGATAGGAACTTATTATTCCCAAGCTAAAGCAAGTGATAACTCAATAAGACCGGACGCAAATTCCCAACAAGTTCAAATAGAGCCAGCGAGACTGGTCTTCTCTTACCAAAGGAACCTTACCTCCGGAGAATTGATACAAACATAGGATAGATGTGCCAAATTAACACTTATTGGTAAGATTTTAAGAATGAGTTTGGATCGCATGGATATCATCTTCAAGTCGTCTCATGGATTTCATATCTTCCACCACTATGGATTCTTGCACATTTCACTAAGACATGACTTATGACACCACAGGTTGCAATTTGTTATAAATATGTAGATTCATTTTATATAATATTCCAAGGATTTCTAAGGCCAAAATCTCCTTTCAAGACAGATTGTTTTCTCTGTTTTTTCAAATATATTGACAGAGATGAAGATATGTTTTCTGCAGAGATTTTGGTCTCGGAAACAAATGTTTTCTATTGTGATGTATTTAAAAATGAGTTACTTTAAGAATTAGTGCTTAAAGATGTACTTTACACCATGCACAAAATATTTTTATATTGGAAAATACTGCAAAGTAGTCTATTATGGGTAAATTACCCTGACTTTATTTTATCCATGACTATTTTACAATTTGTTTAACAGATTGCAACCAAATCGTCCACCAAAGCCATGTGTACATAAATATGAAACCATAAATACTTCAAATACTTACCAAAACATTTCGATACATGTTCAAAGTTTTCACCATACATTACCCAACATTTAGATGAATCAAAAACTATTGTGACATTCTACTACAATGACTCTTCGACTGACACATGCTGCTGTCTCTGTTATTTCTAAAGGGAATGAGAGAAACAACAATGTTTTTATAAAAAAAACGCACTGTCAACGTACATTCCTCAATACTCTTGAGCATGAATTTGACGATGCTTTAACTGTTGTATTTTCTTTTATTTCGATGTCTATTAGTTTAGTCTTTCAAGTAGCATTTACATCACTTTCATATACAACCATATCCAGTATTAATTTACAATTATTTTAGCTATTTTACGTAAAAGTCAAGTTTTAATCCGTCACTGACAGTTCACATCACTTCTAATTAAAGAAATTAAACTCTTCAACTTAATTTAGAGGCGTTGAATAAAGCTTATTCGATGTTTTATCAATTTTCTGTTATTATTTCATTAATTCAATTCAATTGAAGCTAAAATTTTCATTCTGGCAAAACAGCAGATTTACCACAGATGAAAAATTGAAGTCAATAAAATTAGTTATTTTTCATCTGTCATCTATGATGGTAATTTTTATAGTTCAGTTTTTAGAGTATAATATTATTGTTGTGTTCCCAGCAGCCGCCATTAACGAAACGAGCGGACAAAACCCTGAAGACTGCTGCGCTGGAATGACGAGACTTGTGGTGCTTACGCCTTCTTTGCCTCAGGCCATGGTGTCTTCACTACGCCAGTCACTCCTTCCAGCCCCTACTTAAAATACAGATTGTGTTATGTGCGCGCAAACCCGTACACAAGAATATTGCCGATATATTAAGATGATTTAAAAATGCTTATTGTGTGGCAAACAATCTGTTATACGCGTTGATATCGCGGATACTCCTGTCAGAAAATATAGAAAACCTAACCTATAAATGTATAAATTTATATGCAGGATAAGACAGCTACAGTACGATAAGGATCTTGTGACTTTTTGATATTTTTGCCTACAGGCTCAGATAAGTTTGTCGGACTTACTAATGTAAGTTTTTAATCTGTGACGTTGATACTGGCAACTTTTGGTTTCAAAAAGTATATCAATATTCAGCGGGTAATTGCGGGTTTGCGTTGCACTTGTACGTGTGTAAAATGTGTCTGAAGACGTGACTATAAAAGTGTCAGACACAGTTCTGTGAGTGATATAACAATGTGATTGTGTAACTATTAATGAACTATAAGTACATTAGGATATTTTAATTTTTTTTCTTTCGTATAAATACGTTCGGAGTATCCACCATGGAGCCGTTGTGTTTGCGATTTGGTTTTGGAATCATAGAGCAATACTTTTTAGTCTATGGACGTTCGTTTAGAAACGGTTGTAAAATATTCTTAGTTTAAAAATATGAAACTGCCAAGTAGTGCCTTTTATAAAGATAATAGAGATATAATTAGGACTATCTTTTTCAATAAAAACTGAGCTCACGGCGACTGGTTCGCATTTTTTGAAACTAGTTTAACTTTGAATCTTAGTTAATATTGATTTTTTATACTTTTTGGTTTTAAACTGAATTTATTCTTAATATAAATCTTGATATTTTTGTTTTAATTTAAGCCTGTTTTTAATATCTAAAATTATTTATGTCTATAAATAAAGTTACCAGTAGTATAAATTTCTTGATTTTTTGCTTTGGCAGTATCTGAAGATCCATAGTGAGCTCAAAAACATCACTTGCCGTTGATTGCTAACTATTTATTATAAATACAAACTATTTATATATGAGCAATTTATTATCTGTCCAAATTGTGTAAATTTTAAGAAAAAGATTATAAGAAAATCACAAAACTGAACTTTTTTTTATTTATTTGTACCCCATAAGAATTTCATAACATTTCCAACCACCAATGACCATTTTATACATATTTTCTAACAAATAAATTAATAACAATCCACAAATATATTTTCCCAGTACAGATAAGAAATAAACTTAATATAACAGATAAAAAAAGTTGTTCACAGAGTATAAAATCGACAAAAACCTTTTTACAAGGAGTTTGAGTGAAGTTTTCTTAAACATAAGCATTCCTAAAACTAAAATAGAACTTTTAAAAAACATCTATGATTCAGCCAGTCTTTACAGGAAAGGCTGATTTTGATCCGACATTTTTGACCATCAATTTTGCCAGCATTCCCACTGATAATACAAATACTAGACCGGCTGGCATGAACTTTCTACTGTTGTAAAATCTGAAACATAATTAGTTACTTTTAGAGTCATTAAATATGGATAGTTGATATCTTTTGACCTCGGATAAGATTTTTCTAACCCCCTGACCTCTTATGAATTAATATCTCATTTCTTAGAGTAAGTTTCTCAGAGAAAAGGATTAATTACGCTAAAAAGTCTGAAATAATTCAAATATATTCTTTTACCTTTGAAATATTTTACATAATAAATGAATAGGCCCATCCACATCACATCCATCCAAACATTAGCGTTTATAATATTAGTAAGTTAAATAAAAAGCAGTTCTTCAAGGCATAAATTCGAAAAAAAAAATGAATAATTAGTATCCAATGTCCGTCTCCTGGCTCTAAGCTACCTTCTCACCAATTTTCAACCATATTGGTAAAGCCGTTCTTGAGTTATAAATAGTGTAACTAACATGACTTTCTTTTATACATATAGATGATATATCACTCTTTCAAGACATAAAATAATAAAGATTTACCTATATCCCATAAGACCACCAAGAGTAGTTGTGGTGCCCAACATCAAAGTGTAGTTTGAGGGATCTTGGCTCAGTTGGTATGCACCTACACCTGAAAATTAAAGATTCTTTTTAGAATGCTATATTTTTAGTGATGCTAATATCAAAATTATCAAGATGAAAAAAATCTTTATCTTTGTACATCATTAGTAACAAAACTTTTGTAAGTATTTTGTAATAAGTTAATTAAATGACAATTAAGTCATAATTATTTGGCTTACCTAGAATTGACCCGAAAATAAGTCCTGCTCCCAATGATGGAATTGATCCTGAAATGTAAAATTCACAACTTGAACATGTAAACCGATATATAAACACGGCTAAATTAATATTCGTCGGGTGGCTGCACCAACTAGTTTCGAGCCCATCGGGGGCCCTTCATCAGGATGATTGGTACTGCTATTATTTCGCGGACACGGCCCGTCGCTCACCGGTCGAATACTAATACCACTCCTGATGAAGGGTGGGTGCACAGGGATGCACGATGGGCTCGAAACTAGTTGGTGTCGCCAACAAACGAATATACCTGAGTGTTTAGCCGTGTTTATTTTAGTTTAGTATAATGTCTCACGAAAGTTTGAATAATTTGAACATGTAATTCGAAAACATTGCTAAATATTTGTTTCCAATAATAAAATTTGTTTGCCAAATTTTTATCTATTTTGTATTTATCTAAAAACTCTAACCCACCACTGTATACACAGGTTTGTTGTAAATTAAATGTTTTACTTTTTACATGTTAATTTTACTAACATGGGCTTGAATTGCCAAGACATTAGCAAAAAAAATTTTGTCGTTTTCCCTATTCTTCATTAAAAATTTAGATATCAATAATGTTTCTGTACTGATGTTGCCAGAAGATAAACACCATGAATTGAATAAGTATAAATAGCCTTTGTGAAATATTCTCAACACTATGGGTGCTGTTGTTAACTATAAACAAAGATTGAAATGTAACATGATTTTACTGTATCAAAAATTATCCCACCCTACTTGCATAATTTCCATTTTATTACAGAACCGTAATTGAGTTTTTTTTTCCCTTGAAAATATAATAAATTATAGGAATAGCCACATTAAGAAAAGTCTAGAAAATATAAAACCATTATCTTATCAAATAAAAATAACAAGTCATCAGCATTACAATTCTTAAACGTAGTTTTATTTCAATTTACTTTTTTTTATATAGATTTCGCAGGATTTTCGGAATAAGTTATTTAAACTATGCATTATTAGACGATTGTTATACAATAACAGAATAGACTGACCTGCTTTAGCGTAACCCATAATTCCACCGGCCGCAACAGTAGCAGCATAAGCAAATCCCAAAATATCGACACCCATTATGAGATCGTTAATTATTTATTTCTTGTCCAAAGTACTACTGCGTGTACTAGGCGTGAAAATAAGTTTTATAAAGTGCCGAACACTACAGAGGGTCAATGTAACTTGAAATTATTACAATGACAGATAATTTAATCGGATCGGATGACATTTTGTATTGAAAATAGTAACGTTCCATTCCATGAGAAAAGATTACATGATAAGTGAAATCTGATGAATATTTTTCATTTGTGATATAAATATTTCCAAAGCGGATAAGTTTCTAGGTTTTATATAGTTATGTATGAAATTACAAAGCTCGTGTACTCACAATTGATTTATTGGGAGAACGAATTTTTTACAATCACTCATTTAAAATCAAAGAAGCAGTGAGTTTTTAATTTTAAAATGGTTTAGTTCAATTACAAAAATGTATTTTAAAGTTTCAATTCTCATTCTGATCTGAAAAAACTTATAAGAATCTTGCAAAAGCAGTTGCAATTGGCAACACTCACTCATTATTTTCTTTTTGAACTATCACAGAGCGCCTGATAAAT